AGGTTACAGAAAGGGGCGAGTGTTGACGAATGACGCTGATGAACGTCAGTTTATATACATAAACATGGTTGAAAATATTTTTTTCTAAATTATGTAATATTTCAGCGAATGTTCACATGTGAGATCCTAAAACACGATGAACCACTGTCCGCCATATTGAAATATTCCTCACCAGTTATTGACGTCACAACGCCTGTCTCTATATAAACAGGGTGTTTATCGCATGGTTTCACACGGGCCAGCACAGATGATAGCTGATCGATCTGGTATCGATTCAGTCCGATAGGAGAGAGCGTCTTCTGTTACTGGCAATCACTGCAGCTTGGAATTGACGTCTGCCTGTGTCGCGAGATTAGGCGGCGTTCTGCGCGAGATTAGTCCATATCCGCTCTGGGGTCATTTACAGGCGGGTCACTTCCGGTTTGCTCCAGGTAGCGTGCATCTATTAAGGTTTCTAGGGCGGTTCCCGATGGAGGCCATTCTGTAGCAATCACACGGAGCTGTGGCTGTTGTTGTAGAGGTAGTAGCGGTAGTAGTAATAGGGGTGGTAGAAGCAGTAGGAGTATTGGTGGTTGAGGCAGGGAAATGGTTAAAGTGGCAGTAGTGGTAGTGGTGGTATCAGTAATAGTGACTGTAGTAATAGTAGTGGTAGTAGTAATAGTGGTGGTAGGAGCAGTAGTAGTGATGGTGGTTGCGGTAGGGAAGTGATAGTTGTGGTAGTGGTATCAGTAATACTGACTGTAGTAAAAGTAGTGGTAGTAATAATAGCGGTGGTAGCAGTAGTACTAGTTATTGTAGAAGTTAAGTGGTAATAGTGGAAGTAGTAGTTGTGGGACGTAGTAGTAGTAGAAGTTGTTGTGGTAGTGGTAGTGGTGGGACGTAGTAGTAGTAGTAGTAGTAGTAGTAGTAGTAGTTGTTGTGGTAGTAGTAGTGGAAATATAAGAATAATAGTAGTAATAGCACAGTGTTAGTAGTAGTGTCGGTGGTGGTAATGCTAATGGTAGTAGTAGTTGCTGTTGTGATAGTAGTAGCAGCAGTAGTGGTGGCAGTTGCAGTAGCCTAAGCAGTAGCAGTGGTAGTATTAATAGTGGTATTAAAAGTATTATTATTCTTAGCAGTAGTAGTAATAGTAGTAGTAGTAGTAGTAGTAGTAGTAGTAGTAGTAGCAGCAGTAGTAATATTAGCAGTAGTAGAAGTAGTAGTAGCAGCAGTAGTAATAGTTGCAGTAGTAGCAGCAGTAGTAATAGTAGCAATAGTAGCAATAGTAGTAGTAGTAGTAGTAGTAGTAGTAATAGAAGCAGTAGTAGCAGAAGTAGTAGAAGCAGCAGCAGTACTGGTAGAAGCAGTTGTAGTAGTAGTGGTGGTGGTAGTAGTAGTGGTAGTAGCAGTTGTAGTAGTGGTGGTCGTGGTAGTAGTAGTGGTAGTAGCAGTTGTAGTAGTGGTGGTCGTGGTCGTAGTAGTGGTAGTAGCAGTAGCAGCATAAATGGTAACGATCTTAGAAACAAGAGCAGTCGTGGCAGTGGAGGCAGCCATCTTTCTTTGTTTCAGTGGTGGCATCAGCAGTAAGGATGCCAATTCAGTCACGGCAAGATGCAGTTAATACCTGAATACTTGTCTTGTAATGATTTCATCTCGTTATACAAGTAAAACATATCACGAACAATAACACGACGACAACACGCTAAACACGTTCAATGTGTGAAGTTTCATCAAAAACCGTTATTCTCATATGACACAATTCTCCAAATGAACATAGGTAATTACGAACCGAAACATGATCGTAAGATCATAAGACCAATAGCATGGCATGACCTTCAGTATACACTAATATTTACAAAACCTACAAAAAATACTTCATTCCATTTTCATTTATGTTTATATTCAATTGAGCGATCGATTCTAATAAAAACGCAAATTAACCGTTTGACGTATCAAAGAGCACGTTTAGCACAAGTCCACAAAGGTCAACCAAATATTGATATTGCTTTTCAAACAGGCACGCTGTCAATATGAATGTTTCTCCAGCACATTTCTATACCAGCATATATCTGTTAACATAATGAGACCCCAACGGCTAATCTTTCATCGCATCGACGGCGACCGTTTAATCTTTGGCCTGGGGTGTAGCTGAAATTTCAATGGAAACTTAAGGAAATATGTGTACAATAACGTTTCGCCCTGACAAGTTCTGATACTTTTAATTCCCTTACGATTCAAATCGGGTGTATTGACGGCTGTAGAGCATGGACACAAAACGGCTGTATTGAGTACATGCTTAAAGTATCAAAATCTGATATGCCTCCGATCTTTTGTGAAATGTATATAGCTTGTGCATTATGAAGCGCTTCGTGAACAACATATGAACATAAATCTAGGGAGATATAATACATACAAATACATGCGAATGTAACTTGTTCATGAAATACCTGTGTACTCATTTAAATTGCAGGTTAAAAGAAAGTGTACATCCATAACATTAAACAAGAAACGGTTATTCGATGGTGATGTATTTGTTAAGGGTGGGGGCACGGGTGGCCCAGTCGTCAAAGGCGCCGCGATTCGCTGTGCAGAGTTGCGTCCCTTGGGCATGCCAGAAACCTATGATTGTGGGTTCGAATCCCGGTTCGCCCCGATTATGTTTCTAGGTTTGTCAGCACCATACCTGGGCTAGTGGATTTCACCGAAGTGGTAAACGTCGTAGACCTGCATCACTTCGGGCTTTCCTCCTACATTAAGCTGACACGCCCTGATATAACTGGAATACTGTTAAAAGCGGCGTTAAACCCAACTCACTCACTCACAATTGTTAAGGGTATTATCATTGTGTTTTGGACCTAACGCTTGCAGTGTTTCCACGACTTTTTTCAGCCTAGTAACGTTTTAAAATGTTTGTTATTGTTTTGTCAAAAGCCATTTTCAAGTGTATACTTTCTTTTGCCTTGGGGTTTAGTTACAATGATGAGTATTGAATTCAAAGACAAAAACATGTTTAACTCAAACCATAACTTCATCAGTTTGGGATGTGCTTCAAGGAAGGATCTTATAAGCTTTCTTTCGTTGAGAGCGTGTGGTTGAATCGCGAAGAGAGATTTCGTCACGGATCAGTGAATCAATTTGTCACTACCCCATGAAGTACAGTGAACGACAGGTAAAGCAACTCCAACCGTACTAGCATACACTTACATGGAGTCTACATTATGTCGGCACCGGTGAATAAACCGGAGATTATTTCATATCGCGGTGTGCCAAATACAATCTATTGACTGGGAATATTCAATATGACTATAGGAAGCTCATTGACTTGATGGGAGCGTGAGGAATAATGTGTTAATGCTATGAGAAAGACAGCCATACTTGAAGTGCTCGTGACCACAGACGGATGATATACTAGAGCGGGGATAGGCACATGGACACCTGCAGCTATCATCTACATCGTAGTGGTGTGGTGATACTTTGTTCTTCATCCATCAATCTGATATTGATTGCGATGGAGTGGAAATGGAATACGGCGGTTAATCCTGTTTCAGTTGTTGATATCCACACCTGATGAAATTGACAATTGTCAATAGCCGTCAATAACCCATATGCGCGGAATCGGTGTTGATAAATCGTGTATTCATTTACAAGTCACACACTATAAATTTGATTTGGGTCTTGATTTATGGATAGAGGAATTAATTTATTTGGATATAAATTGCGTGAATCAGTTTCATTTGCAAGGCAGCGAAGAAGGAATAACTCTCGGCTACGCATGCGGCTCCCTGGCGATGTAATCAACCCGAAGCTGATGTGATATGTCATTTTGAAATAGACTGTAGAAGACAGTAGGACTTTCTTCAGCAGTGAGGATGCTTCAAGCGACAAGGGCAAGAATATAACATCGCGTGTTAGCGCCAGAGAAATGGGCAGTGTTTAGGATAACAGTAGTCAACGGACCCCGTCTCGCCATTCCGCGAGACGCACGTGGTACTCACATGTGGTATTTCACAGACTACAAGGAACATCAGAAACGACAAGAAAACAGAACCTGATGGAATTATGGGGAACACAAGAAAGGGTGAAAATTGGTGTTTTCAGGAATATAGCATGTGACACGATCCAGTGTCAGTCCAGTCTCAAGGCTACATGGACTGTTATGCAATATGTTAGTACCAATGCCACTGAAAGTTAGGATAACTGGATTAGACAAGAACAAGATAACAATGCGAAATGACGGCAGTTACCGAATGACAGGATTAAATCTGTCAGGGTCGTAGAGAACACAAGAACTCCAAAGTGTGACACAACAGAAATGGTATAGAACACTGTAACCATAAGAATCAGACGAGATCGGGTGTTTTGAAACTCATATTAAAAAACAAAACACTTGATACAACGGATTAATGTTCACAGGAATTCTCCAAAAAGCAGCGAGAACAGACATAGCATCAAACTTCAATATCGTATCTGAAAGCGAATATATGGACTGTTCAGTGTCTGGAACACGACCTGAGTGTCGGATGTGAAGCATTTCGGGCATTAATAACACCTTGAACTCCAGGATATTCAGACCGCACCGTCACACGTTCTCAGGTGCATAGCGACAAGACCCACTCTGCTGACGTAAACCTCTCTTCTCTATAACACACGGAGAAAACGCTGTGGTATGTTATCAGTATATCAGAGAACGACGGATCGAACTTCATGAGAATTTCCTATACGTGTTGTGTGAGAATAAGGGTTTCTGTCAAGAGCTGTAGGGTAATGATACATATACATACAGGCACATATCACAGACCAGTGTGTGCAGAAGAACTCGAGGACTAGCCCTTGACCCCTGCCCGTATTGGTCTCTCGTTTGTGTACGTTGCTCTTACACCACACTGTTCTGTTGCTCTTACAAGGGCAGATGACTCCAAGCGTGATTGATTATGCGTAATGATCCCATCTACCAAGACATATACCTACTTCAGTTGTTGAAAATACACCTTAGTGCCTTACCGTGATCTGTGTGGATAGTGAAGGTATTTTAAGACTCCGTGATTTAGAGTCTCTCGAAGGTATATAGTTTCTGAGACACTCAATGGACGGTGTGGGTAGATCTGGAGATTCCTTGGACACTCTGTGGAGTCTTTGAGGATGATTTGTTGCCTCTTCTGATGCCACCTGGGTGTGTCATGCCTCCTTCGCCTACATGGAGAAGGGGGTCATTTGGGAGGGGGGTGCTCAACCCTGGCACCCCTCGGGCAGATTTTCGCCTGGATGTGACTAGGGTGAATGAGAACAGAAGCACGGACAGACGGACATCAGCTGGACATAGATGTCCGAACCTCGGACCGACAAGGCAGGATACACAATTATTCTTCAGACAGACTGGGCGAGCTAGGTAAGTTGCTGTAGTGATATTGAGATTCACATGATATCAAGCGATTATTTCATTTCCGACTTTCCTTATTACTTTTCGATGTAATAATTGTCTCTGACGTGATAATCCAAATTATCTGAATATGCTGAAATTTCAAATTTTACCAAGTTTCATTTACATCGTGGGCGTAATACATGCGTGCCGTGTATGATAATGGTCGTGGCTGATATTCCATGTCGACTTAACCTATACAGTAGTGTATAGTTCGTAAGGTCCAACACAAGCGAGTTGATGAATCTTCACACGAAGCGTATGTAATATATGATAGTTTTACATGCCCTATAGCATTGTTTACAAGATGTTAACACCATACAGTTTACCTTATAGAGTACACACTGTCCTCAGGGCTTCTATTATATAACGACCAATAACTTGTTTATTACATACTATATTATGCAACTGTGCAAGACTGCATATTTTTCCCTTGGTAACCGGCGGTAAATTAAAAGCTCCTGAAACTCGTTTGTAAAATCAGTATGACACACATCATCCTCATGTAACAATCACATATGCTACTGTTGTTATTCAAGATATGTACATGACCTGAAGCAAATCGTGTGAAGAAACAATTCCATATTCATGAACTTCAAATATTTTCAAACCGAATCGCCAACTCATTCGTTCCTTATCAAAATTAATGTGGTTGAATACAACATGCAAATAACATATTACAGCGCATTATTCCATGTCCCGACATTCAACTCTGAACACAACCCCGTTGTACACCAAGCACGTCCCTTCCACCCCCTGTCAATACCCCCAACATAAGCACGCAGGTACACTACACAATGATTACAAAGGCCACTGGCTAATAAGCATAGCTAGTTGGGGACAGCAGAAAATCTATTGAGACTTATGGTAACTTTATCCGCTTTGATTACAGTGTGATGGGTTCTCACCACACCAATTGGTAATTCAAATACCTTCGGTATTGTCGGGGCATTTTTTACTGGGTATTTCGTACAAAACATGGCTGACATTAGACTGGACGCAGTCTCCTTTTAAAACATATTTTTACAATTATTGCACAAATCTGAGGAAAATTTGATTTCTTGTCTATTGTTTTGCGAATTACTTTAAACACCTTTATAGCAACTATTGTAATCATATTTGGTTTTATTTCTCTTTTTGATGCTCCGGGAGACACTGCTTTTTGTAATAATACAAAGGAGCCTGCCACAGTCTAGCTACAGGCTGACATGTGGAGGTGTGTGTTATTAGGCTCTTTAAGTCACAGTGGTCCTTTTACAAATACTTCAATTGACGCTCTAATGGTGATATCCTCATAAAACAATATGACGTCTTTGTCACGGACATAACAGCAAATGATTTCCCGAGGAGTAATGATACTGTTGGTATTGTTTATTTCTATTTGACAAGCACTTGACATCAAAGTATTAATGTAAATGATTTAAAAAAAGTCCTACATCACGATTGAGTGACTTCTAATCGGCAACACATTTTCATTCATAAAGTACTAGAAGACATACAGAGTCTACCAGCAAGGTTAATCAAGCTGACAAGCCACCAGCAAGTTTAAAGTTATAAAGTGTTTTACATTAGCATATATACAGTTAACTACGGATATAACGAACTCAAAGGGACCACTAATTTTAGTTCGTTATAACCGTAGTTCGTTATAAGCGTATATATAGCTCAACTACAGCAAATAGTCGGGACAAAAAAAGTAAGTTCGCTATATCCGTCAGTTCGTTATAAGCGTGTTCGTTATAAACGTAGTTTACTGTAATCTTATCTAATAATAAGACCACCAGAACGCGTCTTGCGCACGTTCCAGTTCTTGAACTAGAAACTGTACCGAATGGTTTATATAATTAACATTTACAGTTATAAAACCTGTTTAAAGCAGTCGGAGTCGACCTGTTTTATCATTATTTAAACAAATACATGCGACAAAACCCTTTCCATATTTAAAAGAAATCTAAAAGTAGAGTTGAGTGTACGATTCCGATTATTTCATGAGCATATGTTTATAAATTAAAATCAAATAGTGATGACACCAGGTGTTCGCGGATGAGTAAGCGTAAGCGCCCGTCAAAAACACATGCAACGGCAAGTCAATTATCCACCTGATAAACACGGGAACATGTGGTACAATGATTTTTAAGCTTTGATCAGTGAATCCTGATACTGCCAAGGGACGCAACTCACCACAATACATTACGGAGAATTAGGGCAACCCACGTTTCCTACCGGCCCAAAACAGAGACATCACGTTAAGTGTACACCATAAATTAATTATAAATATTTCGAAAAAACAGGTTTTTGCTCATCTGTTGCCTCATAATAGCGTAGAACTTTTAAAAATCAATAGTGATGTTTTCATACCCGACAGTACTTTATACGCGACATAAATTATATTTCATAAATTCATAAGGTCTAACATGAGGTCAGACCAGGTGCGTTATTAAATATTTCCTCACCGTCCTTGGTAAAAGGAAATAGCTGTACCAGCTCAATGAGCATTGTGTAGAAAACAATGACTTACCTACCACCTAGCCGGCACCTTCTAACCCTTGCTTTACGTATAAACCAGAGTCCTGAGAACCGATTGTCCCATAACTCACAGCGAACCTGGCTAATGGAGTTTTACATCAATAATCTGGCAAATCTCTCGCAAATCTTTACAAAATACATGACACAAACCGGAACACATTTATAACGGAAAATGTGTTCTTTCATGGCGATACGGAATGTGTCACTTTTAAAGGCATGCATTTGCCGTATATTTCACGGTGTGTTTTAACATGGCTTTCAAGTGATATGATTTATGAAGGTAGAGAGATGTCTGGGTCTGCTTATGCTTTGATAATGATGTCAAGATATAAATCCCTTCACTCTTACTTCATCCTGAAACTAATCTGCTTTAGATAGACATCTGTTGGTTATTTTCTCTTTTAAAATTGCAGGGTCAACGAGTGTATGGCTGTCTTACACTACACGAAAAAGCATATTTCCTGACGTTAGGAATAGTGTCAGCACTAATGCACTTCAGTAAACTACGGTTATAACGAACTCAAAATACCACTAATTTGTATTCGTTATAACCGTAGTTCGTTATAAGCAAATGTACGGAATATATACAGCAAATAGACAGGACCAAAAACATAGTTCGTTATATCCGTCAGTTCGTTATGAGCGTGTTCGTTATAACCGTAGTTTACTGTATTTCATGCAATTTTATCTCAGTATTAACGCCTGTATATATGAGCATAGTTCAGTTGTTGTCGGGTCAATCCTCAATAAATCAGTTATTTCAGTTCTAAAGGGTGAATGTACGAATGTTACAGTCGTTATACTGAAGACAAATGTAATGTTTAATTGATTTGTGAACATTATCATCAACTGAGAACTCTTCACTAAATATGTAATACGCATAAAAACCAAACATTAATGCTTACTCTTCTCCATAATTATTCAGAAAACAGTGAAACAAAGAAAACAAAGGTGCAGACTATTTTTTGTTTGGGTTGAATCTCACAGACATTTCGCAGTCAATCAGTTCAATCTCCTAGCCGAACATCCCCTGTATTTCTTTCGCGGTATATAAGCAATATACCTCAGTATCTCAGAGTGTAGATCTCATTTCACCTAAATATCTTATATCTGATAAATATCTGTTATATCTAACTAACTCCCCCGTTGATTTTGAAACGGTCTCTATTCTTTCTTTCATTCTATGTTGTGTAACGCCGCACTCAGCACTATTCCAGCTATATGACGGCGGTCTGTAAATAATCGAGTCTGGACTAGACAATCCAGTGATTGACATCATGAGCATCGATCCACGTAATTGGGATACGATGACATGCACCAACCAAGTCAGCGAGCCTGACCACCCGATCCCGTTAGTCGCCTCTTACGACAAGCATAGTCGCCCTTTACGGCAAGCATGGGAAATCAAAGAAACAACTGAGAAACCATATTCAGTGCCTTATTTTGATCTACGCATGGAAATTCAATAAGATTGCAGCCTCTGTTTTGTTTGTTTGTTTGTTGTTTAACGCCAGATTCAGCAATATTCCAACTATATGACGGCGGTCTATAAATAATCGAGTCTGGACCAGACATTCCAATGATTGACAGCATGAGCATCGATCCACGCAATTGGAATACGATGACATGCATCAATCAAGTCAGCGAGCCTGACCAACCTATCCCGTTTGTCGCCTCTTACGACAAGCATAGTCGCCTTTTACGGCAAACATGGGTTGCTGAAGACCTATTCTACCCCGGATCTTCACGGGTCTGCAGCCTCTGTACAAAGGTGAACGGATGGTTTCGGATTTCCAATAATTAATTTTCCCTTCATGTCGAGAAATATACAGCTATAGCTTACCGCGTCTACATTTCTCAATTCTTTATGTGATTTAAAGTATGTACAATGTATTCAAATTTCAAGGTACATTTGCTTACAACTAATAATCATAAGCTTACCAATGAAGGTATCACCAACAATTCCTGGTTAAGTAATTCCAGAGGTGTTATGGTAGTCGGAGACATTCGGAGAAATTTGCTAAATATCACACGTAGCTTGTCAACATGGTGCGCGATGGTACCCTGAACTATGACCTTTTAATGACCTTTATCACCTTCTCACTCACTGGTACATTTTTGTTTTTGTAAAAATTAAGTCAGTGGTGGGCGCTATCGTTAGAGCAGGACACGCTTACCCTTTTCGCGAACACTTGGTGTCATCACGGATTTTCAGTGATCCGTTCATATAATTTGCATCACATTTTGTCCTTTCTCTCGCCTGATATGAGACAGATATTCACGAGTGGTTATTCTCTGGCGTTGTCGTATTGAATTCACTTCAATTGAATTTAAATTCCGATGAGTTTGACTTTGATGCTTTGAACAACAGGAAATATATCCAAAAGAAAATTACGATTAGTCAAATAACGCATTAAACGATGTTATGTTTGTAGATAATGGGA